GCGCCCGGGGAGTTGGTGCCAGCCCCCCCCCCCCGCACGGGGGGGGAGAAATGGCGGTGTCGGGGTGAGGAAGGAAGCAACGGCGGTGTTTGAGCGGCATTGGTGCAACAGGTTCCCCGGGGAGGCAGCACCGGCGCTGTGCCTGGGCTCGGCGGCCGCCCTGCAGGAGGAGCTGGGCTGGTGTCAGCGGCGGCTGCAGGAGCTCCAGCAGGTGCTGGCCGAGGAGAAGTTCAAGGCAGACTACCTGGAGGCAGTGCTGGGCCAGCCGTGAGTGTGGAAAGGAGGTGGAGGAGGTGGCGGCCAGTTTGCGCCAGAGTCAGACCCCCCTGTCCCACCACCCCATGCCTGAAGGCGTGGCCAGCAGCCACATCGCCTCCAGCAGCCCAAAGCCATCCCCAGTGCCCCTTCGGAGAGCGGGAGTTTCCTGACTGCAGCAGTGGCCCTGAGCGAGGGGGCGGCAGTGATGGGACCACCAAGCCGCAGCTCGGACCGTGAAGACGCCTCCTCGGCAGGTAGGAACTCCGGGCAGCACCTGGTGCATGGAGGTAGACTGCCGCGGGATGTGGAGGCTCCCTTTCACCCTCGCAGAATGCTAGATGGATCTATCTGACGTGAGTGGGTTGAGCCTTTGGTTGAAGCCAGTGACTTCCTTGACATCTTGTGGCAAGTGCGCAACAGCCACTTCCTCTTTTGGGCGAGGAGGTGGAAGAGGGCGCGGTGGCATCGGTGGCCCACACTTCTTCCCCGAACTGCCGCCTTTTCACTGCTGCCCCTCAAGCAGCCCGCCACCCCCAAGCAGCCCATGCCCAGCGCCGGCAAGCTGGAGGAGTGCTTCATCCACGTCCTGGTGAGTCCCCCCCAGCCACTGCCGCTTTCCCTGCACTCTTCTCCCGCAAGGAGGCTTCCTTGCTCACTGTTAGGATGGCGGTGCCTGATAGGGCAGACACTTTGGGCTGCCTGTGCTGTCACCCCGCCTTTCAAAGGTGCATGGCAGGCGGAAATTCAAGAGGTGAAGCTTTCCCCACTGTTTGCAAAGCGGGAGCTCCGCCAGCTGAATTTCTGGCTGCTGAGCAGCTGTTAAAGGCCTGAGTTGGTTGCAAGGATATGGGTGGCAAAGATGATTACCACCTTGTTGTGGGTCCTTCAGGCCCTTAAAAGATATGCAGCAGGCAGAAGTTCAAGAGGAGGTGCAAAAAGCTGCACAAGTTGACTGGAGAAATCTTCCTCTCTCAGTGCTCATTCTACTAAATATTTGTGCATTTTGATCTGGGAGCTGCACATAGTGCTTTTAAACTTTGCCATCTGTCCTGCAGAGGTAATGGGAGGGAGGGACACTGGCCTCTGATCTAAGGGCTGCTGGGTAGCTGCACCTCCATGCAGTGTTCCCGCTCTAAGCAGGGGTCATTTCATAGAAAAAGAGGTGCAGGAGCTCATTAGCATAACTCATTAGCATAACTTATTTGCATATGCCACACCCCCTGATGTTACCGGAAGTGTTTCAGAAGGCAACAGCCACTGCTCAGGCTCCACTGGACTGTTTTGGATTGCTAGCTATTGGGGGGGGAAGAAACGCACAGATCTGCCCTCACACAGATCTGTGCAGAGAGAGAGAGAGAGAGAGAAGAAAAGAAAAGAAGGAGGGAAAGAAAGAGGGAAAGAAAGCAAGAAACTGCAAGTAGATAAATAGGTACCACTTCGGTGGGGAGGTAACAGCGTTCCGTGCACCTTGGCATTTAGTCATGCTGGCTACATGACCAAGGAAACATCTTCAAAGATCTGTTATATTTTTAAAAGGCTCTTAAGGGTTGAGAATGTTGATTATTGCATGGTATTAATTTGTGTTCTGAAAATAATAAAAACTTATTAAAAAAAAGAAAATGCTGGCTCTTCGGCTTGTAAAAGGAGATAAGCACCACCCCCTAGAGTCGGATTTGACTGGCTTTTGATATTTATTTTAAAATAGGCATTATTTGGGTTGAACTATCATTTTCTGTTTACCATATGCACACCCCTATCACCCATTCATTGCACAAATAATTTTTCCATTGTTTGTACTCTTACAACCCCAGAATGCAGATTAGTGTTTTTCTTAATCTGCTACTGAACGATGAGTTTGATGTTGCAAGAAAGGCTATTTCTTCATATGCTCTCAATGGCTGTGAGCAGAGAAATTATCACAAAGCATGGCAGAGACAACATCTATGACTGTAGAATAGTTATAACCCAGCCACTGCATTTAGAGCCATCTACAGCCACAGATGCTTTCCCTATTTGCCTCCCAACATTTTTCTGCCCCCAAAAGTTGAAGAAATGTCTTCAATCAGAATGACATGCATTTGCCTAATTTCCTTATTTGGCACTATATTGGCATGCACAGAATCTTTAGATGTAGTAGGCATGTGCTTTTTGTTTACAGAATCCCCAGGCCTCCTAAGCCAAAATGCACAGCAGAAGGTGATTTCCCCAATAAGTGAAACTTTTGGTGGACCCATAAATTTCAGAAGGGTAAAGCATTTCTGGAGCTCAGTGAGACATCGTCAAGCCTCAGTTTGAAAAAAAAAGCCAGAGTTTAAATTTAAACCAGCCCTCGACCCTGAAAATGGTTTCAAATGCCAGGGGACAGTTCTGCCATGAGTAAAGCACCCTTGCACATGTGCAAAATACATTTCTGTAATCACAGCCCATGTACCCATAGATCTGGGATCAGTGCCACAGGTATCCAGGTCAGAAGGTACAGTACCCAGGCAACCCTGAACCTGGACAGCTATCTTTTTAGAAATGTGCACAGGGCTGCTCTTCCCGTCACTTGCTTCAAGCCTCAGGGAACACTACTAAGTGAGGAGGAAGGAGAGTGTCAGCAACAACACCACAGTGACTCCCCAATCAATTCTTTAACTGTATTTCTGTTGCTCCTGTAACTGCATGTGCCATCCCTTCGCCTGTGTTTTTCCCTGTTCATCTGTCTCCCTCTTTTGACTCTCTGATCCCCATTACACTTGACAGTTCTCTGGTTTGCATCCCATTAAAATATTTTCTCCTGAACTCCCCAACCCTGCAACACACACACACACACACACGGACAAACACACACCCTTTTGAACACAGATCACTTGTACGGGCTCCAAGTGACAGGAGAGGTTTTATTTCCTATTGAAAGAAAGAGAGATTTCAGGGACAGAGAACTTTCAGGCACCTGACAAGAGATGCTGTGCTTGATTTAATATTAACCCCAAATAAGGTGGTCAAGAAGAACAGATCTCTGAAGCCTTCTCAAAATTCTCCCTAATGACAAGGGAACTCGGGGGCACAACTTGATTGCTTGGCTGCACAGAGGCCAGCCAGAATTCAAATATATTGCAGGAGCTCCTGGGTATAAGAGGCAGAATACAACCAAGGGACAGATCCGCAGATGGCATAGTCAGTGGCTCTGCTGAAACACTGGCGGAGAAATTGGCCTGAGGATACAATCCAGGACTTAGCACCTACTCTGGCTACTCTAATTTTAGCTGCAGTCGTGATGGGCTCTTGGATGTTTAAATAAGCACAGAACTGTTGTATTTTTTGCCCAAGATAGGAGGACAGGAAAGGGAGGGAGCAAAGATGAGAGAGGAGTTCTGCTCTGCATTTGGCAGATCTTTGTGACAATATTGTTTCTGCAACTCTGGAGAGACAGAAGCCTGACTGTGAACTCCCTCAGGCACAAGACACGAGAGACTTCCCTTGAGACTCACGGGGCAAAGTGTGTCCAGGACCCACGATGGGCAAATGCTCCTTAACTTGCAGTTTGATCACAAAATGTGAGAAGCACCCTCAAGCACTCAAAGAGCACTTCTTCTTATTCACACTTGATTTGTGTGTGTAAAGTGCCATCAAGTCACAGCTAGCAAGGGACTTTCAAGGCAAGTGAGAAGCAGAGGTGGTTTGCCATGGCCTTCCTCTGCAGAGTCTTCCTTGGGGGTCTCCTTTCCAAGTACCGACCCTGCCTAGCTTCCGAGATCTGATGAGATTGGGCTATACTATTCCACCTTCCTTCCCTACGCCTGAATGGTCCTAAAAAATACTTTGTGTGTGTGTGTGTGTGTGTGTATTCTTACACTGCTTTCCCACAGCTTTCCCTATGTCCTCTGCCCATTCTGCTGTCTACCCAATCCACCTAACAGGGCCGGAGAGTAGCTTAAGAAAGAAGTGCTTTCCTTGAATGTCTCTATTCTCTTGGGAAATGGGGGAGTACCGTGTCTATTGCAGCCCTGTCTATTTGTGCCTCCCTGACTCCCAAAGTTGAGTGTGTTTATCAAGCATTCTAAATTAGATAGGAAATATTTTGCTGCTGCCTAGAACCTGCTGTACACACACCAACATGGTGAGTGTCAGTGACTCCACAGGCACACATACACTTGAATTGCAGCTGGCTTCAAATGCTGCAAGGCCTCTCTATGATGCCCCTGGGCCGGGTCACAGGGAACAGGGAATCTAAGCAAGCCAGTATGTTGTACGTATGAGGTTACTTGCCCAATGCTGCCAACAGTGCAGACAAACCCCTGCCCCCACTCACAATACCGCTTGTTTTAAATTGCAGACAAAGTGTCAATGCAACCATGTGGGATGCTTGACCTGGCAGAAAAGATACATTGGATTTTTTTAAAAAACCTTATTGGTAAAAATCCATTCATCACTAGCCAGAACACCTCTTGGGGAAGGAGACTAGCAATACTCACCATCTCCCAGGAACTGCAGAAGGGCTAAATCGATTGCCCTCTTCCACTTGGAATCCTTCTGGAGGGCGATGCCGTAGCCTGTCGTGGCAAAGACTTTTCCACTGCCAATGGTCACCAGCTTGCAACCCTCATCCTTGCCAGCCATGTAATTGAGCACCGCGGCATCATATATAAAAGCATCCAGCTTCCTGGAATCAAGCAGAGAGACAATGCAAACAAGGGAAGAGCTTTATAAGACTGACTTCTGTTCAGCAGAGTATGTAGCAGCTTCACAGGCAGAAATGAGAGAAGCCCAAGAGGACCATAGGTTTACATACAAATGAGCAAAGTTTGAGAAGCCATACGGCAGTGCCTATACAGGAGTATACGTACTCTGGGATCGGAGAAGGGAATGTGCACAGCCTTCACACAATTGAATAGTGCATATTTAATAGATGACTGCTCCCACATTGGTGTGAGAGTGATGTGTAGTGGGTTAGACGCATGTAGAAACCACTGAGACAGATGTAGTGATCAGCATGGTTTACTGGTACACAACAAAGACAACATCTACTGGCCAGCTGGCCAACTATATACACACCTGGGGACACACCCCTAGGTCCCGTTGGTGGGTTTAAATCTCCCGCCACGGTCCTATTGGTTCCCAAGTGGAGAGACTAGGAGCCTAGTCCCCATTGTTCCTACAGAGTCAAGCTCGGGGGTATTCGCTGGCCCCTGGTGGCGGTCAGCGGACATAGCAGAGAGAGCAATGCACATGCCACCACATTCCACAGGCACAAATGTAGTAAGCTGGAAGGCATATTACTTTTTCCCAGTGATAAAATATTCTTGTTTGAATGATAGAGGGAAAATTATATTTTCTCAATCAAAGTGCTGTCTTGAGGAAAGACATATGAATCTCACACAAGGAGTCTAGAATGATGCAGTTATTGTTTGAAATAACAATAGTATGGGAAGGGTTTTAAAACATATATAGCATGAGCTTTGCAGCCTAATGTCTCACGATTTCATGAAGACCAGGGGCTAGTTCAGAGAGGGAAGGCAGCATGCTATAGCACAATCTTGCCAGATCTTGGAAGGTAAGCAGGGTCGGTACTTGGAAGGGAGACTACCAAGGAAAACTCTGCAGAGGCAGGTGATGGCAAACCACCTCTGTTTCTCACTTGCCTTGAAAGCCCCTTGCAATAAGTCAGCTGTGGCCTGATGGCACTTTACACACACGCACATGCGCATATGTGCTAGTTCAAAC